CAGAGGAAGCACACAGAGGAAGCACACAGAGGAAGCACACACAGGAAGCACACAGAGGAAGCACACAGAGAACACAAAAGACGGTTACAGGGACAACAGAGGACGTACAGAGGGAGCACAGAGGATGTATAGAGGAAGCACACAGAGGACGCACACATATCTCTACATTTCCTTGTCTCCTTGTCTATATTTCTTTCTGTCTCTACATTTCTATCTATCGATCTATTTATTTATCTAGCTTTATCAATCTGTCTATTTGTCTTACAGCTGTTTTATTGAAAGTAGTTCTTTTTCGATCTTGTGTGTATATTCCTGGAAGTAATGAAACGGACCCCAGTCACACCATTGTCTAACTGCTTAAAGGCACATTGTGTAACTTTTCTGGAGGAGGGTCCGTCAAACGCTTTTCTCCATGTTATTACTTTGTCTGGCATGTTTCACAGTGTGGCATTAAACCTTTCTATCTCTATGGAGACCAAACCAGACCAAGTTACAGGTCAGATCTGTCATAATGCCTTTATTTCTTGGTATTTTGAGCTATAAAACCACCCGTAATTGAATAAATGTAAAGTAGAAATGTTCACTGTGGAACATCTGAGGCAGAGCAATGACATCTCCACAAAAACAAACAGGTGAGGGACCCCGATCCAAAAAGTTACATAGTGCAGCTTTAAGATCTGCTGTACGGGGCCTGATTAAAATTTCAAACTAGACTTTAGAAATAGAAATAGACTCAATGTGAATGTGACTTTTTCATTATTGATATCTGCTCATATCCGACCCATAATTCTTTGCAGCATAAATTTCAGTCAGTTTTATATGTAGAGCAAGTTTTAGTCTAAGAAAATAAGAATAATTCACAACGGCGAAAACATGACAATTCAAAAAGCAACTCCACAGGGTCCAGGAATTGAACCAAAAACTGGCCTGCCATTCCTGATTTGTTTTCCTTTTTCTAATTTAAGAGCACACGGCTGCTATTCAGTTCATCCCTCCGCTGTCAAAGAAACCACATTAGAAGCCATAAAAATGATTTCAGGAAAAGAAAACTGAGCCACTATGTTCTTTTAGTCATAAGAGTATTTTGGTGTGAAAAGTCAGCAAGTGTCATGATGTCTGCGAAAACACATTTCCCTCTGAGACAATTAAGTGCTTTCTTTCTTTTTTTCTCTTTCTTTCTTTCTATCCATCTATCTAGCTATCTATTTATCTATGTATTTAATAGTCGTTTTACAGCTGTTCAATGTACTATACTGTCTTACAAAGGAAAAATGCAGTATCTATCAATCAACCGTATGTTTTAATAGCATTTACCGTAATTTCCGGACTATTGAGCGCACCTGAATATAAGCAACATCAACTAAATGTTAACAATATTTTTAAAGTTGTACATATACATATACATATTGCAGGTATCCACGTCTTCAAGAACATTTTCAAGTTCAAGGCGTCTGCTTTTATCGCATCTGAAAGCTTTTGTCGTCTTTTTGCACTGAGTCAGTTCGTCACGCTGCCGTCGCCAAAATCTCACCATCGACTCACTGATGCCGAGCTCACGTGCAGCAGATCTGTTTTTCCTTCTTCCACAGCCACATCAATCACCGTTTGCTTTTTTTCGTGTGTTTTCCATGAGGAGGGTGTGTGTATGAAGCGCAAAATAACTCTTCAAAACGCAATCAAATGAGCATCTTCCTCGGCGCATCACCCCCGTCTCTCCCCGCGCATGTCTCCTGCAGAAAGAGCCTCTGTCCTGTCTGTATCATGTCAGTGTCCTGGAGGATTTCAGCAGATTTCAGACTCTCTCGGGGGCGGGGCTAGTTCTATCAATCAGGTATGAGTGGATGTGCGGCTACTTAAATTTGAGATGTTTCTTCTCGTCATTTACACACACGGGTAAGACGTATCCCCCTCACGAATGTTCATTTAGCATCATAACTTATTTTATCACACGGCAATAAACTGTTTTAGAGCGCTGACAACATAGTGAACTAGTGTAGCAACTTCATGTTAACCCTAGATCCATGTGTAATCTCACAGACAGCGACGTTTTCTGCACTCAGGCTGCGCTCGTATCCGCTGCGTTGCCAAACCACAGACCGTAAATATGACTGGACAATGTGCCAAACAAAGAATCCTTCCATATATCAGCCGCAACGTTTTATTAGCTGCAGGGTTCAAAGTGTGAGAAAAAAGTAGTGGCTTATAGTCCAGAATTTACGGTAACTGGTTTATGTTGTTGTAAGGCGACTTTGAGTGTCCAAAAAAGAACCTAATAAATAAAATGTATTATTATTTATTATTATTATTAGTAGTAGTAGTAGTAGTAGTAGTAGTAGTAGTAGTAGTAAAACTTTAATTGCGACCAAAAGACATCTGTTTTAATTGGTGACAAAGTTTTATGTTGTTTTTGAGAAATCTTAATATTAAATTTGCAGCAACTACTAATTATTCAGTTATTCGTTTTAAGGATAAACTGCAGCTTGAAATGTTCTGACAAACTCAAACACAGATACTGCACTTTTCGGTTGTTTCACTGGAGAGTTTCACACAGCCCGTAGAACCTGCAACATGTTTTTTTGATTAAAATCTGAAATGGGACAAAAAGACTTGAAACTTTCACAATTTCTAATTCAACACACAAACAAGAATATTTAATGTTTTTGGTGATAAAATATCTCCCCAAACAGTTTTCTCACTCCAGGTCATTTTCGGTACAAAGGTAAAATCAGTGCTGATGGTCGTGATGGATAAATATTAAAGGTTGTATAGAGGATTTTTTAAGGGAAGAGAAATACAGTGACAGTCCTTTTTCAAATGTCGTGCAAGCGTGACACCACCTTCCTCCTCCACAGCTCCCTCAGTAGAAACACCTCCTCCCGCCTCTTTACTCTAGAAATCACACTTGTTTGTATCCAGTGCGCGTTCAGAATTACTGTTGAAGTGACCTGTCTGGAAGTAACTTACGACCGACGTGTCAGTCTTTAGACCCTTCATCTGCTTCATTCGCCCAAACGCTGGAAAAGATCTCCAAGAATCACCTCAGGTTGGCTTTGGTCCTTTTCCCCTTCTCTTCTTCTTTCAGCGACCTCAAAAACAGACTTTCTTTTGCGGCGAACTGGTCGTGGATTCTCATCCGCCATCTCAACAATCTTTGTGCAAAATGTGGGGAAGCGACAGTTTGAAAAAGCCTCTAAGAACCGCTGCATAAACCACATAATCCCCGCGCGCCGATGAGTCAATTACACTAGAAATGTAGGGAGTTTGATTGACGACCTAACAGCCAATAGAAAAAGAGGTAGCCTCGTTTTCTATTGGCTGATGTTTATCTGGCCTCGCTACGTCCACTGTTGATGGATTTTCATTCTTTTTTTTTTTTTTTTTTTTTGGTCATCATAATTACATGGCTGCTGCGTCTCTGTAATGGTAGTTTAAACTTTCACTGACAATTTGAAACAAAAACAAAAAAAAAATCCTCCATACAACCTTTAACTCATCATACAGTGACACATAGGCTACGTTCAGACTGCAGGGCTTAATGCTTAATTCAGATTTTTTTTTGTGAAATCTGATGTTTTTCCGAGGTCGTTCACATTTCCAATTACATGTGACTTGTATATGATCTCCAGTGTGAACTTTAAACGGCCCAAAAGTGTCCCAGTGTGCTCTGTGTTTACGGAAGTTGTCAAAAAATGGACGCGAATATTGAGCACCTGGAGATTTTAAAGTTCCTCTCGTACCGGAGCCAGAACATGAACAACTTATTTGTTTTATGGAGGAGATTGAGAAGGAGAAGGACGAGGTGTTTGGCCGTGGGGCAGTGTCCCTTGAAAGGAACATGTGGATGTGGAGACGTAGCCGAGAGTGGTGAGTGGTGATGTGCTTCGCTTAAAGGTTGCATGGAGGATTTTTTTGTTTGTTTCATATTGTCGATGAATGTTCAAAATAAAATTATAGAGATGCAGCAGCTTTGTAATTATGATAACAAAAAACAAAATAACAAAAAGAAAAAGAATGAAAATCCATCAATTGTGGACGTGGTGGGGGCAGATAAACATCAGCCAATAGATAACAAGGCTACCTCTTTATCTATTGGCTGTTGGATTGTCAATCAAACTCCCTACATTTCTAGCGTCACTGACTTGCCGGCGCGGTGGGATTATGCAGTTTACGTTCGCCTCTCACGCACTGATGCCGTTTACTCAACCGACACAGCGGTTCTTAGCGTCTTTTTCGAACTGTAGCTTCCTCTCACACAAAGTTTTGTTGTAATGGCGGACAAGAATTCACGACCATTTCGCCACAAAAGAAAGTCTGTTTTTGACGTCGCCGAAAGAAGAAGAGAAGGGGGAAGAGGAGCGAAGCGCAACATTTAAAAAAGGACAAACAGTCGCTGCATTTCTCTTTCCTTGGAAAATCTTCTATACAACCTTTAAGTGACACGGAGTTCATTACCAATTTTCGCCTACTTCAGCGCAGAATAGTGACTTTTGTGGCTTGTTTATAACGTGTAGGTCGGATGAATGAGCTTTGGCCGTTCAGACTGAAGTCGCATGTCAAAAGATCAGATATGTATCGGTTTGTGGCCTGGGTCGCATTTGAAAAAATCAGATCTGTGTCGCTCAGACTGTCATTAAAAGATCAGAAACAGGTCACAGAGGGGCCAAAAAATCAGATTTGGGTCACTTCAGGCTGCAGTCTGAACGTAGCCATAAACACACTGTCATTAGTGAATCTCTGACATACACAAGAGGGACAGACACACTTTAAAATCACTTTGCTGTACTGTTTCTCACATTACACTGTTCTTGTATGTAACATTACTTGTAATTGTTGATTATGTAATGTAATGGACCCAGACATGTTATAGCAGCAAATATGGATCCAAAATCCATGTGCAAGAAACTCAGGAGCAGTTGTGCAAAGTCAGCAGATTTAGTTTTAATTTTAAGCATGTGTAATGTGAATGGAGCTAATATTTCTTACGTGTTTGTTTGTGTTACCTTGAAAGGGTGAAAGGTCGACGTCGGCCCAGTTGTAGCTGGTGGCGATGCGGCAGCTCTCTTTGAGCCAGTCCAGGTTTGGATACCAGTCTGAGGACAGGCCTGGGTCAGAAAAACAGGAAACAGATCAGAGAAGTGCTACAGGTGCAGTTATTTAAGGCAGCGTTTCTCAAACTTTTTTTCTGGGGGCCCATATTTTAAAAGTCAAAAAAACTTTGCGACCCAAGTCAATAGACATTCGTAAATGACAAAATAAAGGTGGATTTGAGCATTATTGAACATTAATAAGGATATTTTATTTCGTGTCTCTCTGAACAATTAGTTTTACTCAAGTTTTAAACAATGAAAAACAGTAATTGAAGCAGCAATAAAAGGATCCATAAGTCGTCTATTTGCACATTAAATATAACCTGTTTCTTTTTCTTTTCAACATTCAATTGAACCAGCAACATTGGAACAAAATATACAATAAAATAATTACAAAAGGATTAGAAATTATACAAAACATGTCTTAACATTTCAACATTTCTAAGAGATGGGTGGTCCTGTCTGTGTTTTTGTAGCGTGTTTTTGTCCGGGTGCAGGAGGAGACGCAGCAGCAGATCAGACGCAGTATTCTGTCTGTTTCTGTGCTTTGTTTTCATTTCTTTGAGCACAGATGTGTCATGTGTCAGAACTGTACACTGCAGACCTACATGCAGCTCGTTCACACAGGTTTAACACTCAAATCTTGCATATTTAGGCTGAGTTCTTCTCTCAAACAAAAAAAAAAACACTCTGTACCACCTTGTGATGTCATGTGGTAATACAGGAAGTGCTTCACTGTTTTTAGAATCATTTGGATCAATTCAGCCCTGGAATTGCCAGTCTCCAGTAAACAAAAGTTAAAAGGTAGATGTTAACTTGACAACTACCACTACATGACATCACAAGGTGGATTGGAGCATTTTGAGCTTTGGAGATGTAGACAGACTAATAATAAAGAATGTAATACTTTAGTTCAGGGACCATATTTATAACTAACTAATAGTAAAGTGCATAATAAGTGCCTAATTACATATTTGTTTTTGTATTTATAAAATACTTTCAATGCATTTTTGCCTAAGGCTTTATTTTACAAGTATTAAGCCATGAACTGTTTTCTTCCAATAACAGTAGTGGAGATTACAATATATGTTTTTGTACAAACACTGAAATCTTAACAAGCATTAATAAGTGTTTGATGTACACTACATAACTATATACAAACTAATAGCTAAGACAGAGCTAAGTTACAAGTTACTCAAACATGGGTGAATAAAACAAAACAAAACTCCAGGTCTGTTTTTGAGACAACAGTCTAACATGTCACCAGTGTTGGGGAGTAACAGATTACATGTACCAGGAGTTACGTAATCAGAGTACAAATTATGAGTAACTGTATCTAGTTACAGTTACTGTTTCAGTGAGTGGTAATTGGATTACAGTTACTTTGTTGAAATAAGTGGATTACACTGTGGTATTTTCCTGTTTTCACATTTGGGGCTATATCCCTTTTTTTTTTTTTTTTTTTTCCCCCTCGGTAATTCCACTCATTGCCGGACACTAAACCAGGTCTAAGACCAGGTCTAAACCCAGGTCTAAACTAGGACTAAACCAGGACTAAACCAGGACTAAAGCAGGACTAAAGCAAAACTAGGTCTAAATCAGGTCTAAACAAGGACTAAAGCAGGACTAAACAAGTTCTAAACCATGTCTAAAACAGGATTTAACAAGACTAAACCAGAACTAAACCAGGACTAAACCAGGACTAAACCAGGATAAACAGAACTAAACCAGGACTAAACCAGGACTAAACCAGGACTAAACCAGAACTAAACCAGGACTAAACTAAACCAGGACTAAACCAGTTCTAAACCATGTCTAAAACAGGATTTAACAAGACTAAACCAGGACTAAACCAGGACTAAACCAGAACTAAACCAGGACTAAAACCAGGTCTAAACCAGTTCTAAACCATGTCTAAAACAGGATTTAACAAGACTAAACCAGGTTTAAAACAGGCCTAAACCAGGATTTAACAGGACTAAACCATGCTGCGTGGACCATGTCTCCTCCTCTTCTATCAATAACATTTTTAATTTGGTTAAAGACTCGGCCTTTTCGTTTTCTTTTATCAGACAAAACTTCTTATGTTACGATTTCCTAGTCTTTGCTTCTCTACAGCAAATCACCTTAAATAATTTAATGGATTACGTTACAAACTACATTTTGGGGTATGTAATCTGTAATCTGTAGGGGAATACATTTTAAAAGTCACCTTCCCAACCCTGCATGTCACTAAAATAAAGCACATTTTACATAATATACGACCTTTAAAAATAAATTACACAACATGACACGTAACTATCTTAATTCTTTCTGCGGCGTGTGTAAGAAAGACGGAGTATATCTTATTTCACTTATTCCACGCTCGTCATAATTTGCACAGATGACTCATTTATTTTCACGTATTAAAAATGTCCCATAAAAACAGGAAAGAGGATTTGCGTGACTAATAAAGTATACAAGCATCCTGTCAGGCCGTTCTTCACCCCTGTCCTAAAACATCTCACTCCAAAACTGCCTAAAACTGCTCATTTTACCAACCCGCCACTAGGGGGAGTAACTTGACTTTGCTGTAAAAAAAAAAAAAAAAAAAAAAAAAGCCAGGCTCAAATCAGAGAGAAACGCACGCTTGCCTTCACCTTTCCCTCATGCACAAACAAACAATGGAACCTAAAGCCACTGAGGGATTTCGTATATCCGTGTATTGGTTGTGAGGAATGCTAAACGAAATAAAACGCGCTTTCTTCTGCCTTGGGAATATGAGGTGGGAAAATCTGGTAGGATCCGGGGTGTATTAGACTAGTACTGGCTCATAAGACGGGATGCCCAGAGAGGAAAAGAGAGGAGAGGATAGAAGACAGAGGAGAGCTTATCTTTTCAATGCTATGAAGGAAATGTGATGCAGACAGTCAATACCACAATAAATAAAACGCGAAACGTGGACTGAAATTTGTACTGTTAAAAATATCCTCCCCTCAAGATTGTTGTATGATTGACACGAGTCTCCTGCCATTTTTACTGCTACTTTTTTTACCATTTATATATTTTTTTACTCTTTCTTATTGTAATATAATGTAATTTCCCTTGTAAAGTTTGTGAATGTTGATATGACTATGAAGTCTCTTGTTAAAGGTGCACTACGTAACATTCTTGTGGAGGGTCCGTCACCTGCTTGTCTCCATGGAAACGTTATTGTTTTGTCTAGAACAGAGGTGTCAAACTCAAATTCACAGAGGACAAAAATTTAAAACTGGGGCCACACTAAATATTTATTGTAATCTTTCAACAACATCTGCACGTTTTCTCTTCTTTTGAGAGATGTATGTTAAATCTTTTCTTATTAAAATAAATGTTTAATAATAGTTTTGCTTAAATATTGAATCCAGAAAAAGCAAAATATAAAATAACTAGAAAAGCACTCAGAGAGCGCAGACCTCCGCCAAGGACTACCCCCATTTTTTGGATAAAATCAGTCTGGATCAGATCCGGATCAGCCTTTGGAATTGGTCAATAATTAACCGAGATATTGAGAAACAAAATTTTTGGCCCCATTTACCACAATGTTAACTAAAATTTCAAAGTGATCCAGAATCCAGGATTTCTTCCGGATCACCCCCAAAATGAAATCAGTTCTTCCTTTTCACATTTCCAACAAATCCTGAAAATTTCATCAAAATCGGTCCATAACTTTTTGAGTTATGTTGCTAACAGACAAACAAACAAACAAACAAACAGACAAACAAACAGACAAACAAACAAACAAACAAACAAACAAACAGACAAACAAACAAACAGACAAACACCGGCAAAAACATAACCTCCTTGGCGGAGGTAATAACAACATTTTAAATAAATAATGTCTCTATAGTCTATGTGTAGCCAGCGGGCAGCTCTAATACATATTTGACATGTTCTCACGGTCCAAATATAATTATATTGTGGTCCAAATTTGGCCCCCGGGCTTGAGTTTGACATGTCTGGTCTAGAATGTTCCACAGTATCCAACGTATCAATCATGAGGGAGATGAGCAGGTTACAGCCCTGCGCCACATTAAACAGCTGCTCCTATTCACAGGAGAAGTTCATATACACGATGTCCCAAAAAATTTGACATCATTTCTGAAGGCCAATAATTTCGGCACTTCTTGTAGAAATAGAAGCGACTCTCCACAGATCTGACCTGTAATGTCAGATTACCACACTGGTGCTGTAACCTGCTTGTGACACATGAGTTTAATCTGTACTGTGGAACATTTTAGACAAAGCAGTGACATTTCCATGGAGACAAGCAGGTGACGGACCCTACACTGGAATGTTACGCAGTGCACCTTTAACAAGAGAAATATAAACATAAAAACACACACAAACATGATTGATTCACAAGGCAAATGACATTATATTACAACAACAAAGAGTAAAAAATATAAAAATGGTATAAAAAGTAGCAATAAAAATGGAGGGGAGTATATTTTTAAGTAAGTCAGTCTTTATTTATAGAGCGCGTTTCACAGACGCTTTGTCACAAAGACGCTTTACAGAGCATTATTCAGCATTATTCATTCACTCTATACCTGGTGGTGGTAAACTACTATTGTAGCCACAGCTGCCCTGGGGCAGACTGACAGAAGCGCGGCTGCCATGCCAATCAGCGCCATCGCTCCCTCCGACCATCAGACACACACCACTTTCATACTAGGCAATGTGGGTGAAGTGTCTTGCCTAAGGACACAATGACAGTTATTCCCACTGGCGCCTCACTGTGGCACCTGGAACTCCCAGTGTGTCCCATCCAAGTCCTCACCAGGCCCGGCCCTGCTCAGCTTCTGACATCTGACGGGATCAGGCTTTTACAAGCTGGTATGTCCACACTTACTCACTCACTTATATTTTTAATAGTACCAATTTCAGTTCATGTTTCGCATTTTATTAATTGTGGTATTGAATGTCTGCTTTACATCTGTTTCTATCAAACATTATGTGAAAATTTGAGGTTATTTCAACAAGAATGGTCAAAATTATTACCCTGCGAAATGATGGCAAATTTTTTGGGAGACTCTGTAATTTTGTTGAAATAACCTCATATTAGAGATCTGTGTGGGACAGAATTTTCAGTCCCGCTCCTGCCCGCACCTGCAAAGAATTGTCATTTTCATTCCTGCTCCAGCCCGCAAATCCCGCAAGATGGGGACGTTCGCTTTCTTAAAAGAGAAGTGGAAAGGAATAGTCTAAAATGTCCGTGAGATTAGACCACATCCGCAAATTTAGGCTACTTAAAATGTTTTTATTAATGCCAAATACAATATCCAGCACAAATTATGTATGATAGGCTCACATTAATCATTTGTATATTTTACTTTACACTCATATTTAGTTCATGGGACTGCGGTTTATCATCCCACTCGCCCGCTCCTGCAATGAGCTTTCAAAATGTGTCCAACGCTGCACTGTTTTGCGTCAGGTCCCACGGGTTCTGCAGGGCTCTACCTCAAATTTTCACAGAATGTATAGAAACAGATCAAAATTTTACGCTTAATGTTTTATTTCTGTTCTGTTTTCAGGTTGAGCCATGGCGTTCACTCCCAAAGAGAAGTAATTTTGCATTTTGGAATCTCCTCGCACACATATGTAATCCTTTAGCCCCTGCACAAGTCTTCCTCTTTACATTTTTGGTACCAAGTCCAAATTTGTTTGTTTAAGGTTTGGGTTTTTGAGTTTGGGTGACTATTCCAAGACGCAAAATGACTTCTCTTTGGGAGTGAACAGTTCAACCTGAAAACAGAACAAAAATAAAACATTAAATATAAAACCTTGCTCTGTTTCTGTACATTCTGTGAAAATTTGAGGTTATTTCAACAAGAACTGCCAAAATTATGGGCTTGTGAAATGATGTCAAATTTTTTTCAGGCACCCTGTATTTTTGAGGAACAGAAACACCCGAAATGAATAAATGTTAGATGTATATGATTTAATAACACACTTTATTTAATATTTGCTATGATTTATAGGTGGGTTATGGCAGGATGTGAGCGTCTGGTTTGTGAGTTTCTATTTTTCCATCGCAGAGTAACTGTTGTTGCAGCAAAACTTGAATTTCTCTTGGGATCAATAAAGTATCTCTCTCTCTCTAATGTGCTTTTTTTTTTATTATTTTGAGTTTAAAATTCAAAATTACGATTACATAAATTAATTTGAACCTTGCAGCTGTAAAATTTGAGTGTTATGTAAATGTAATAAACCAAATTAAATGAAAATCTTTGGGGTTTTTTGTTTATTTTTTTTAATTATTCATAGTTTTTGTGATGGTGCGTGAGCTACTGTGTCCCCATAATTCCCCTTGTGGACCAGTAAAGTTCGTGTAAGTGTAAGAGTAAGTTTGTCGGGCCTCTTACCTGTGCTGGAGCAGGGCTGTGTGCTGTGGCTCTGGTGGGACAGTGGCTGCGGGTGCTGCGGGTGCTGCGGGGTGCTGCGGGTGGGGCTGGAGGTGCTGCTGATGGTGATGGGAGGGGGGCACAGGGGGGATCTGGAGGGGGGAGGGCTGGTACGAGCACGACGTCCTGGACTGGGGGCCCGAGTCCGAGGGGAGACCCATCAAACCTGCACGACACAAAGAAGAAGAGAAGAGAAAATAAGCCCAGTGGTGGAGGAAGTACTCGGTTTTGTAGTAAAGTAAAAGTACAGATACAGGGACAAAAAGTTACTCAAGTAAAAGTATCACAGGAAAAAACGTACTTAAGTAAATCTATTCTAGTCTAAGGACCTGTTTAAACATGTACTTTTGTAGATTTTTTGATCAATTAAAGGATAAAATGCAGTGATTTTGGTAAAGATTTTAGCTGATTTTAAGTTTAATTTCTTAAGTTTTTCTGTTTTTGTGTATTTGGTTTGCTCAAAGTTGGGATGTTCACTCAAATTAAATGTGCTAAAATAAAAGTCAGCCATTTCAGAAGGTCTAAAACCATAAATAAGGACTTTTTACTTTTCAGTCCAGATCTAAAATGTAGTGGAATAGAAAGTACAGGCACACATCCTCCAAAAAAGAAAGTAAAAATTAAAAAGCAACCGCTGTAAAATTTCCTTAAAGTGCATGAAGTAACTTTTTTGGTGGAGAGTCCATCAAAATACTTTCTCCATGAAGATGTTGTTGCCTTTGTCTTGAATGTCTCACAGTATGGAATTAAACCTTTCTATCATCATAGACCAAGTTACAGGTCAGATCTGTGGAGAGGCGACCCCACCCACAGTCAGAATGCCAGTTTTTCTACGTATTTTTGAGCTATAAAACCACCTGTAATTGAATATATTTAAGATAGAGCTGTTTAATGTCATACTGTGGAACATTCCAGACAAGGCAATGACATCTCCATAGAAACAAGCAAGGAACAGACCCTCTACCAGGAAAGTTACACTATGCACACATATGGGTCCAGTCAAGCGGTAAAGGAGGGAAACAGGGGCAGATTTTTTACATTGAAATGTCTCTTATTCAGAAACTAGAGGGACTATTGAAATAAGTAAAGTATCAGAATGTAGGAAAGAGTTACACTCCAACAGGGTCAAGTTAAACCTGTGATATTCTTTCAAGTTGTTGACAAAAAATTTAAAAACTCATGTTGGTAACGGAGGAAATGAAATATGCAGCACTTTTTGGGCAATAAATACAAACAGTGATAACTCTTGGTTCTCACTTACATATCCTTAACAAACTGGTTTGAATATTTGCTTCATATAGTTTTCTACCATATGGTACAAGATTAGGTTGAAAAACCTCTTACTTTTTGAGTAATGAGATTTTTTATTAAGAAAGGTCATGGTAACGGAGGGAAAAGTAACAGAGGGAAAATTGTGCAAACAAGTAGAAGGTGCATGATTTTACATAATTTGTCGCTTTTTTCTTCCAAATACTTTAATATTACTTCAAAATGAAAGGAAACTATTTCTATAAAATATGTCAGTCCTTCCAAGTAAATTTTTATCTTTTTAAATACTTTTTTTTTTTTAAATCATGTATCTTCATCAACAGTTCAAAGATGGAATAACACAAGATATGATGAAATACATCCATTTATTTACATGATTTTCAGGTCTTTGAAATTTGGGAAATAATTTTTGTTCCATGTTTCATACATGGTTTGTTTAAAACATATGTAACTTTAGAACCAAAAATGGTACAGAAAAAAGGTAAACATTTTCATAAACTAGAGAACATATGTATCTGTTGAATACATTTTTATATCAGATGCATTAACTTGAATTTTTGGCCTTGTTGTTTACTTCTGCTTGACCGGGCAAATTGTAAAACTTGGACTTGAGTATCATACTTTAAGTTTTGTACTTCATTGCCTTCCACCATTGGTTATGGTAAAAATACAAAACTAGAAAAGCACTCAGAGAGCGCAGACCTCCGCCAAGGACTACCCCCATTTTTTATATAAATTGCGATAAAATCAGTCTTCTGGATCAGATCTGGATCAGCCTTTGGAATATGAAAGAGGATCCCATTGTCCATCCCCGAGTCAAATTTCATGGGGTTTGGTCAATAATTAACCGAGATATTGAGAAACAAAATTTTGGCCCCATTGACCACAATGTTAACTAAAATTTCAAAGTGATCCAGAATCCAGGATTTCTTCCAGATCTGAAATCAGTTCTTCCTTTTCACATTTCCAACAAATCCTGAAAATTTCATCAAAATCGGTCCATAACTTTTTGAGTTATGTTGCTAACAGACAAACAAACAAACAAACAAACAAACAGACAAACAGACAAACGCCGGCAAAAACATAACCTTCTTGGCGGAGGTAAAAAAAGGTAAAAATACAAAAGATTACGTAGACCAGGGGTGTCCAGACTTTTGTCACTGAGGGTCAGACTGTTGTCAACACAGCAGATCATTCAAATAGAACATTTCACATTGTTTTGACGGAGCTTCCGCACCTTTAATAAGACTTGGAACATTTATTTTAGGTCTGCATCACAATGAAATTTGTTTATAGTTTAAAGTGATATACTTATTTAAATCTGCTGTAAAAATTAATTCAGATGTTCAATTTGGTCATTTCAGCAGAAGTACCCCTGACAAAGACCATGATGTATTTGAAATATTTGAAAAAGCCGTGTTTCCTAAACTGCTGGTACATGTACTAGTGGTGGTACACGAGCAGGTAAATGAAGCCCTCTGCAGTTGGAGCTATTATTTATTTTTATTTAAGGACCACTGTATGACTCTTTTTGACCTTTCTTGGATTAATAATTATTTCAAACGACTGTCAATATGGTTTAGTCTCATTATTGACCATGTTTAGACATAATTTAGGTCTGAAATAGTCCGAGTTTAGATCTGATGGTCTCAATAAACCAGATTGGTGTGAAGAAGAAGAAGGAAAGAGAAGTACTGGTATAAAGCAACATAGCGTTTTTATAATCACATTAGTTTCTCGTCAATATTGCAATACATAATAAATTTAATGTTTAATTGTCCACAAATCAGGAAGTAGCTCTATTAACATATTAGTTGTTTTTAGCTTCACCATGACAACAAAACTCCACTCTGGCTCTTGAAAGTTGTAAAACTAGGGGTGTCAAATTATCGCGTTAATTGCGATTAATTAATTACAGTCATATTTAGCGCGTTATGTTTTTTAATCGCGTTAATCTCATTTTTAATCTCTAACTTTACTGTTTCTGTATGTGAGTTGCTTTATTATAAAACCTGTTTTTATGTGTTGTTGGGACAACAACACAAACACAAAAAACACATTTATAATTTTTTTTATTTCGGTAATTCCACTCATTGCCGGAAACCCACACAAAACACGCGCAGTAAGAGCGACGTGTAAACGTCAGTCACACAACGGACGAGGTCGTAGAGCCAGTAGAACAGAGCAGCAGTGCACAGGTAAAAACACATTCGTGTCTTGGAAATTATTCTCCCGACGTGAAATATAAAAGAAAATAACAAATATAAAATTGCCTGAAAACAACCTGCATAGACTCATGATGTCTGCACTACTGTCCTATACACACACAAACACACACACACACACAAACACACACACACACAAACACACACAAACACACACAAACACACACACCTTCATCATCGTCATTAACCTGAGAAAGCGCGGACCACGTTTCCTTCCGTAGTTACTGCGTGGACACCGACGTGCTCCCGTGAGCCGCGTGTGGATCGTGTTTTCTCGCATACGCGGCGTAAACCGCACTTCCTCCTGTGCGCCTCTAAACCAGAACTAACACCAAGACTAAAACCAGGACTAATCCAGTCCAGGACTAAACCAGGACTAAACCAGGTCTAAACCAGGTCTAAACCAGGACTAAAACCAGTGATCTCATATATAAAGCATTTCTCTATCAATAATATTTTTAACATGGTTAAGGAAAGACTGGACTTCTTATTGTCTTTAAGTAGACAAAAGTTATTATGTTCAGATTTTCTCGTCTTTGCTACTTTACAGCAAACAGTTTCTTATTCATGGAGACTTGGGCTCAACAGACAAATTGGAGAGATTTGTTATTTATAAAGTCACTTTTTTTAATCTATATCAGTCTTTTGATCTGCCACAATAATGTAATAATGAATTTAAATGAAAATACCTCAAATTGAAGCTTTTCTCAGCAATTTTTAGGTGAGATTAAAATGAGATTAATTAGATTAATTAATTACAGATCATAATTAATTAATCTCTCCATTTTTTTAATCGCATGACAGCACTATGTAAAACGCTCTCATCTACTCTACTTTGCAAGGAATGTGTTAAGAAAGTGAGAAATAAACTTGAACCTCTGCCAGCTGTTTAAAACACCAAAGCTTTTTAAAGGTTCTGAAGACGATTCGACTCAACAGTGCGGCAAAACGTGGGGGTAAAGAGCGGGGAAGACATTCACAAAATCTCACTTACTCCACTACCATTACATTTTTAATCGTGCGTATTTACATTTATAATAACTGCCCAATCAAACTATATTATCTATCAGTAATTTACACATTTTCACAGCCTTCTTGGGTTAAAAACATAAAAAATATATGTAAGTAAATAAAAATAATCTACTAAAATAATCAGGTCTACTAAAATATCTGTTAGTTTCATTGTTTATAATCATATTTTTGTGTTATTATCAGGTTAAGATATTCATTAAAGGTCCAATATTACGCAAAATTGACCCTTGTGAGATTTAAGCCGTGTTATAAAGTTGTTACCTCCTGATACAGTAGAGGAAGAAGTACTCAAGTAAAAGTACAGATACCAGAGAAAATAATATTAAAGCAAAAAAAAAAGTAGTTGTAAATAATAAAGTAAAAATAAAAGTATCAAATGAAAAAATCTACTTAAAGGTGCACTGTGTAAGTTTTTGGTTGGGGGTCTGTCACCTGCTTGTTTCTATGGAGATGTCATTGCTCTGCCTGGAATGTTCCACAGCAAGACTTTAAATTTTTTTCTTTACATGTGTTCAATTGCAATTGGTTTTATAGCTCAAAAATACCTAGAAAAACATGGCATTCTGACTGTGAGCGGGGTCGCTTCTCCACAGATCTGACCTGTAACCCGGTCTGGTTTGGTCTTCATGAAGATAGAAAG